ATTTTTTTAAAGGTTTCAAACTGTATAGAGGTTTACTAAAAATCCTAAATAAAAAGTACCTTGCTTTTTAAATAATTTGTATATTGCAAAAATCAAATCAAATATTTTTAGCGGATTGAGCTACGGAATACAACGAAGTACTGATTCCTTTGAATTGGTGCTTAGCTAATGACACATTTGCATTGTTACAGTAATATTACAAAAATTTAAACCCTCTGTCATATGTTCAATCCTGGAAATATAATACTAACGATAAAAAAAAATCAAAAGTACATTTATATACAAACACACATTATTAAATGTTTTACTTTTTAGTTTATAATATAAGTTTTTTCACTAAAATATCATTGTTTATAACTTCAATAATGAGAGAGTTATTAAGTATTCAGCGAACGTAAGAAATACTCTACGAATTGTATCGTGACGTTATGGTTTCTATTTTGTTACTCAACCGTAAGTTAAACAGTTCTGAATTGCTTCCTTAGTTGAAAATTTGTCACAATCATTTTCACTTACTCAATAATACTGTAATGGGTTATTTTAAAAGATAAGCCAGTAGTAGTATACCACTAGGGTATAGGATGTACTTATCCTCTGTCTTTGGTATAGTCTAACTAAGAGGAATGAGCCGGTCTAGCGGTAAAGCTCGGGACTTTGGTGCTCCAAGAACCAGGTTCAATTCCCGCCAATCACCAATGAATTTTTATCCATGTGATAATGCCACAACCGTCTAGGACTAGCCTGAAGTAACGTGTAAAATAGTTCCGGCTTGAGCCTAGGGTCCAAGGATGTGCAGATATCCCATAAATAAAATTAGCCAAATAGAGCTGTGGGTTATTTGCATTCAATTTTCGTTGACCTTTACAATTAGTTGGTTGTTCTTTCTTTTATCTGTGCTAGTCGCCACCGATCTATTATATAAACACAAATTATTTAATTTTCAAAATTACATTAAAAATGCAAACAAATCGACATAAAAAATCTAACCGTAAACATAATGTATAATGCACCTGCACTTATGGTGTTGCGTAATAAACCTCCATAACCATAAGTACATATTTTCTTTGCACTTTGTTGATAATCATGACAAAACCTAATGTCCATGGCGTCCTGTTTACCACCATACACATGAACCTGTTACTTTATCCGATAAGTGTGATACAGAAGCATATGCTGACTACAGATGATGCCGCTAGAACTACGTCATGGCCGGATGCAGATTACACATGTGCTGACACCATTATCAAACCTAGTGAAGACTTGCTTCGTGTTTGCATACATGAATAACTTGACACACCTTACCAGTGGATAGCTAAACAAAAGTAAGGTACTAGGAAGAAAGTAAATACGTATAACTTCGGTATACAAATATAACAAAAACTCATTTAACTGAAAGTTTTTGTCTATGAATTTATTGTTTTTCTATTGATTCACAACTCGCATGAAAAAAACTAAATCGCCAAAAATGTCATATCATTGGCCAATTTTCAACTGTGACTGGATCATGTGCATTTCATTTAGTTTATACTCTCAAGTATAGATTCTTGGTCTGTAAATAGGTTTGTATTATCAAAATATATTTTTCTTAATTAGTTGTACCTCTATGAGTTTATGGATTACATTTAACCCATAAATAATTAAATTATTAAGCATTGTTAAACTATAAACCACTAAACTTTAGAAAGTACAAAGGCAAAGAGTTTTTCTTTGAACTAGTTGTTGTCGTTCATTACGCAAAAAGCACCGTTAATTCTCTTAAAACCATTGTTTAAATAGGTTAATCGTTTTACTTAACACATCGTAAACTATTTAACAAGCATTCTAATTTGCTTAATATAATAGTTGCTTAGTATAATAGTTTTTTCCTGGGTACTTGATGTCTTTATAAATCACTTAATTACCAAGAAGTTTTCTATCTAATAATACATACATTTATTGTAAACACATTTTTTTAGTGTATATTTTAGGATTTATGATTCATAATTCTGTGTAGCTGAGCCTAGCATTGTAGTGTGAATGCATTCATGATTCAATAAACAGCATTTGCCAATGATACCAGTCGTCCAAACACACATTACTGTAACAGTTAGTATGCATATAACTTGATATAAATCCAACTCCTATTTTTATTACTGGTAGTTAAAAAGTGTTAGTAATATATATAAACTACCTGTAAATCCAAACGGATATTTAATAATTACATATTTTCTACTTATGATTAAAACACCAAAATACAAAAAAAATCTAAACTGCATAATGACTTTTAGAAATATAAATGTCTTCCAAATAATTTCATAACACATAGATTTTAGGCGGTAAAACAATATGTTCCATGTATACAGTTAAAGAATGTTAAATTAAAAATTTTAAAATACATTTTATTTTTCGTTCTTAAAAAATATCTGATACATATTCCAAAATGGTAACAAAATTTACAATTAGGCATAACTGTTATGGACAACTTTAAAAGGAAACCTTGTCACTGTTGAATTTTAAGTACTTTTGATACATTCTTGAACGGATATATATACATATTATACATTTAATGTAGGATATTTATTTACACATTATTATTAAAAAATATAACAGGAGTTGGCCAGTATATAACAGTAATAACAGTATATAACTTATTGTGAGAATACCCATCGTATAACCCAACCACAAGATGAATAATCTTTTGTGTTTTGCAAGTTATTCTTTGTAAGAGAATGGTCTCTGATTCTGCTACTCTCTAACATCAATATTGTGTTACATGATATCTTTGATTTGTAGCAATAAAGAACGCATTTAAATACACAATCGATCATATTCTTTCCTGGAATCAAATCGGCGAACCTAATGTTTTAAGGCAGTTCTGCAAATTCTCGGTAACCCTTACGTCAAGTATTTTCAAAAATATTATCGTTTGCTCACGTTAAGAGAGTGTGTGTAAAAATTAAATCCGGTTTAATATATACATGTATATCTTATCGTTGTTATTGCCTACAAGCCATATATTGCGTTCGGGAAATAACATACGAGTTCAAACCCTTTGAGTAAACGTAGGTTTTAATTAAACGATTTCAGCTCACAAAGCATTCTCCTCACGTGCCAATATTTAATTAATATTTCCAATAAATGAACGAATACATTGTGGAATTTATCTTTTGAAGATTACTTTATGCACGGATTAAATTTTACCATTTTACTCCTACATGTACCTAAACTTTCGTTTTAATATGCATTATTCTAACAAATTAAATAACCTATGACGTTTTACAAAACATCAAATCACTATTAATTTGTATATTTTGAGATTTGCATTGAACTTATCAATTTTTCGTAGCACTTTGATGTAGTAACACCTTGGCAAAGATAAAATATGCACGTTATCTATACAATTTCTACATCATTATTATACTGAAATATTTATCATTTCCCCTAATAAACCGATGTAAATGTTTTATTTTTGCTTATCAATAAATGCAAATCGTCTAAATTTACCCATCCAATAACTTTAAATTTTAAATTTAACCGATTTAATTCTTATACTATTATAATTAATTTACTGATTGATTTCCTTTTTGTAAGCTTTTACGATTTATTCAGTAAATACACATAAGGCAGAAAAAGTTGGTTAATTGATATAAATTAAATGAAGTATCAAAATTATGTGATTCAGAAATTGATAATTATTGAGAAAAACCAACGAATAACGTAACTGAGCAAACGTTTTACAATTTGCTTTTGTTGTTACAATATGTTTTGTTTGCTTTAACATTATTTATACTCTGCCCATTTTAGCAATTGTAACTGTTAAATGAGCTTAATATGTCTAAAGTTATTTTGGATTTAGCTTATAAGGTTGACAGGAAAATATATTTCACGAGAAAAAGGTTTTGAACGTATAACTTTCATTTATTTCAAGATTTAAAAAGTCTAAGAAAAATGTAAAGAAAAGTTACATTATTGAAATTACATCTACTAAATGCCTCATTGAAAAATATTTTAATTCGCACTAGTTTCATTAATTTAGAAAGCTTTGTAAAACTAAATAATTTTTTTCCATTACTGTTTTTGTCACGAATAGTATTTAAAAATACTAGTTACTGAATAGTATATCCAATATAGATTGCATAGAGGGGTTCCCTTTAAGGCTAGTAACTGAACACTCAATGTTTCACACTCGATGCATAATTAGAAAGGTTTGAAAAAATGTGTATATAGATTTTAGAGAATGAAACATAGGTTATCAGGCCATATACAGTTTCACGTAGCATAATAGGCTATATAATAATGTTTTTGCTTAAATAATACTAGACATACAGTAAAGATGTGTAGTAGAGTAATAAACAATCTCTTTATGCATCTAGATAACAAATATTTTTCTTCGAACAAAATATACGTAAGTAAAGTCTCAGAAGAAGCAGAGTCGCTACGACAATTAACTCAATAGCCGCTACTTAACCAAATTTTCTCAGACAGTGCTTCTATTAAGTCTCTTCATTTAACGCCAAAATGACTTACGCTACTTCTCTTGCTTTTCATTGAATTTTAAACTGAGTGACTCTTTGTAAAGAATAAATTGTTCGAAGATTTTTTTGCAATGAAATTTGAAATTTAGTTTTTTCATAATGTTAGTTTGAACGTTAATAAAATGCTAAACTTTAAAAATCCCTAAAGAAAAATCGTATTGTTTTCATTACCAACTGCTATACAATTTATACTGTAAGATGTTTTTGTAGCACAGGAAAGCATTTAATGATTAATATACTTTATAAACGAGTGAGAAACATCATTTAAAAAGTTTCCTACTGCAATGGTGCAAAGATCTTATTTATCAATATCACATCTTGGTCCAAGTTAAATATTTTGACTACGATAAAATAAGAGAAACCATATCTTTTTACATGATATTATGTATGAATCATATAGCTGCAGTTTGAATATTTAAAACCATATACGTATATGAATTATTATTAAATAATTTACATTATTAATCTAATTTATTTTTATTTCAGATTTAGTTGTGAAGCTGTTTGAATGATCTGAATACCGTAAGTACCTCTCATTTTTTTAGAGAATGTTTATACATTTAGTAATATCAGATTTCATAAACATAAAACATAAACTTTCTGTCATCAATTTAAATTTTTCCAAAATCTAATTACGTCCTTATCGTTGTAGACGATGTTATTAAACATAGTCTTGCTAAATCTAACTTTTTAGAGAAACAGATTAATCATGTCTTAAACACTCCAGCATAGTGTTGATATGAGTTTAGATAATTGATGTAGTGAACGTCCCAATACAAATATTTGAAAATATATTTGCAAATGCAAACACTGGTTTAATTAAATTCAACAGTGTTAAATCACAAGATTTGCTTTAAGTACAGAATCCAAATATATTTTTTTACAAAAATTTCCTATAAACAATACTTTCATTGCCAAACATTAGCACAGAGTCAAATATAAGTATGTATACCCAATTACGACTTATAACTGTTTGCAACCCAAGTATTGAACAAACTTGCCACCGAGTCTAGCAGGTATAAATGACAATCTGGGTCAATTCTCAGAACTCTGTTGTATTGACTTTAGGTTCTAAAACATTATTAACATCATTAACTTAGTAGGACAATGAAATTTAGATACATTGGGTATGAGTTATTTGCCAATAAATTATTATAGAGGAATGTTTTTTGTATGTTGTGTATTTTAACAGTGGCCTGTAACTAAGCCTTGCATGTCGCGTGATTGCAAATAATCACTGTGTTTAATTCATACCAGTCGTGAAAACAAACAGTATTGTTGCATTCGGTTGCCAAATATTTTAGCCATAGAATTTCTTATGGAATGGAATTGGATGTTTATGCTAAAGAACATATCCGGTTGATGACCATATAACGTATTTTAAAATTAAATATTATTCTGGTAGCAATAAAGTAATGGGAGGAATTCTTTACTACTTATCTAACTGCGTTTAATGGGATAAGTTGTATTCTGGTATGTTTTCCTCCTTTAATGTCACCGTACTTATTCTATAAAAGTGATGCCCATAGTATCCATCTTTGGGTTACGTTGTCTGCCTGGTTTTCATATTCAAGGTTGTAAATAAAGTTCTACACGTGTTTGTCAATTTTCGTGGAAATCGGCCAATCCTGAACTATAAATCGACGAATTTGCAGTCATCTTGTAGATTTGAGGGCCTCAGAGCGGCCATCTTGGAAAAACCCAACTTCCGGTTGTCCGATTTTGGTAGACTTTTTTCCTGGTACTTACTACACCTGTTACTACCAAAAACCGTTTAAAAACCTTTTGTTGGAATTTTTTCTATCTTGGAGGTGTTTTTGGGCTAAATCTACTCGTCTATTAGACCAGTCTGAAATATAATTTTAGAATTATGTAACTACTTTAGTAGATTTATTTCATAATTATTTCTGAACCATGAGTTAATGGAGAATTCATGTGGTGAAATCAATGTTCACCTAGTAATCTTACATGTTCACTTTAACTTATGTATTTAACGTATGTATGTAACTTATGTATCCACATTATACTGTTGACAACTGGATATACTGTAAATATGTTCTTAAACAAATAGCATACTAAGTATATTTTGTTTCCATAACTGAACGTATAAATAATAGACGAGTCTGTAAATAACTGATTAATGTCTCACTCACCGTTGATTATTTTTTTAGAATATGACTCCGGCAAATATAGTTTTTTTATTTCTATTCGTGAAGTTCAGTTCATTACTTAAGCTTTCGTAATAAATCAAGCAAACTACGTTAATATATTCACCTTTAGTACAAACTTGCTTTAATTTTTTTTTTGTGATGTTAAAGCATAATTAATTTTAAAATCAACTTTAATATGAGGATTTTATAGTATTATTCCTAACTAATTGGCTATATATTAATGTGCAACAAGTTTTTCAAAGCTATTAAATACCTAACTCACTGTCTATGTTGGAAACATATAAAGCAATATACGATATTTTGTATTTCATGTTAGGGATTTCATAAATATTAGACTAAGCGCAATCTTTTGAGTCAACAGAAGTGAATTTTTAACTCTAATCGACGAAAGGGTTTATTTTAATACTACAGCGTGTATGGAAAGCTGTTTAAGGATATCAAGGAAGTGACAAGAAGAGTTAAGAGTCAAGGAGCTACATAAACATATTATGCATTCAAGCTGATGTTTAAAGTGTATGCAACAACATTCAAAGTGTAATCCCTTAATGAAATTTTCCTATTCAATAATCTATTATGTTTTTGTGAGTCTTAAATTAGTCCATCCATCTTAATGACAAAACACGGATTTATGTAAGTGGAATTTTAAAATTTACTTGGTAAAGATATTCAAATATCAATTTCAACACTAACCTTTAAGGAGGTGTAAAAAATTAACTTCATCGCACATACATGTAGTACACACATTAATTTGACATCATGTATAAAGTATATATATTTGTAATATTTTTAGTAAAGTTAAAGCAAATACTAGTATTACAAAATATTCAAGTTATTTGCTTTCACCATCGGAAAATCTAGAAGATTTACAAAATGTAATCATCATATATACAAGTTTGTAAGCTCCATTACCTTTTAGGTTGGATCTAATAAGACAAGTTACGTGCCCCCCCTGTACAAAAAAAAACTTAACTCTGAAACTTACTAACATCGCATTTACCAAAGCCTTATTTCTTTAATTGACTTTTTAGGTTTGCATGAAGATTCTACCCATGAGTCATTGCTCTTTGTATTGATCGCATATGAATTATTCTTGTTAGGATTATGTTTTCATACATCAATGAAAAATGTGTTATTCTCACAAAAACTCTAATAACATAACAGAAGCAATGTGAACGTTGAGCCTAGTTTCTTTTGACAATGGTTTATTGTGTCAGACATCTAGACCTGTCCCAGCTGATGTTCAACAATGTAACAATACAACAATGGAGACCCGCACGATACAGCTGATTTATTTCAGTGGCACACGATAAAATACCAAATATGAAAACTTTTGGATTTTTTTAATAAAGCGGTAAATATTTCTTACTTCGGAAAAACTATTACGATGAACTCTTTGAGAGGTTTCTCACGTTTTAAAACATAGGCGGGTATGGTTTTGAAAAGTTCGTATTTATTCAAATTGTTCTCGAAAAACACTCTTAGTAAGTGATTATCTATTTTAACAGTTATGCACACTAAAACAGTTGTAATTATTAATTGAGATTAGGGGTTCAATAATCTCCTATATAAAAAAAAAAACAAGTGCAAACAAACTTAAGCTATGCAAAAACAAAACGCTTAGAACGTAATCAAAATGTTATTTTGGATGATAAATGTATATTTTAAAATAGAACTTTGAATAATTATAAATTGGTCGCATCAAATCAAAACAATCAAATTATTATCGACTCTGGATAAAGTTAACAGCGTTTACTGTTTAAACTAGTCCCTGCCTTGGTCATAGGTATCTAAATGAGTGACTCTGAAAAAAGAAGCAGCTAGTTTAGCCAATACCAAAACTGAAAAATGCATACCTATGTGCATTGGTGTTGCAACGTCATTAAACCAAATTAAATCCTCTTCTTTATTTTGTAAAACTTTTAGTTGCTGTTAACCTTTATACACTACATAACAATGCCGTGTATTTTGAAAGATTTTGCACTCGAACTCTTATAGTATTGGGTAAAGTTAACATAAAAAGTTAACAGCATTTGAAACAAGTTAATTGAAGAAACATTTAAGACAAAGTTAATACATTTGATATTATTATTTATCAACTATTAACTTCTTATGTGGACCTTTAACTGAACAACATTTCATAATTATATATATTTCAATTGTTGAAGTGTACACCTTTATACTCTGAGAAGCGTTTATTATAAGGATATAACGTTACCGGTAAGCTTCTGCACCTTAAGGATAAAGAGGCAGTTTATCAAAGTAGTTTAGTGGCTTATCTTAATGGTACTCTAACAGCTGATAACAATAACTGCCGCAGGTTAGCTTCACCACTTTACGATAAACTAAACCCTACCATAACCCCTAAAACAAATCTTTAAATATTTACTTGGATTTTTATTTCAATAAAGAAAATCATAGTTTGATGACATTAATAATGTGCCTCATTAAATGCATTTACACTCTTGGTCAAAACAAAATTAAAATAATTAACTACTAAAATCATCGTAAAAATTATATCTCATTTTGTTATCTAGTTTTACGATACTCAAATATTTTTAATCGTCAGTCCAATTTTGGTTTGATTTGGCTCAATTAAATAGGTTTTTCTGTAAGAGAGCTCTAAAAGGTTATCCAAGCAAACAGGTTTTTATGTTTCTGGAAATTGAAAAGAAATATTTACTTTAACAATAATGTATTGTAAAAAGTCATGAATGTTCAAGTCTGATCGACCGTATTAAAAAGTCTTAAATGTGGCTGTGAAAATAACTGGCCTCGAAAATATTATTTCACTAAGATGTGTTGTTTGCGATCAATAAAAAATTATTGCATTTAAAGTCCGCATATACGGTTATGTTAAATAGGCAGAAGTAACATTTAATAATTTAGGCCTATCTTTGTTTAGTTTAAAAGAAAGAGGGGTTAGTTTTTTATCATAAGGGTCGTTATGTGGATGGGATGTTTGGTGGTAATATGAGGTTTGTAAACAAAACATACATTACAAAACCATACATTACTGAACAAGTTATTTCTGGCTATACCCTACAGTAAACCTTTTTTTTATAATCTCTAGGAGTTTTTGGTAGAATTTAAGAATAGATCTGGTTCCTATCTAAATCACATCAGAAGTTAAACGCTCAGATATACTAGTCAGTAAATTGTTTTTAAATTAAAGTTTGTGATATATTTCACAACCGTTGGAATATTTTAAGACTTTTATAATATTTTGTTGTTATATTAACATCTTTGTTAAAGCTCAACAAACTGGTTTATCTAACATTACAAATCATTTCAACATAATATTTATTACCATACACTGTCTTTATTGTAATTAAGAACTAATTATTCGTATAA